CAGAAATAATTTCTCCTCCTGCTGCCAAGTCGACCCAGAAGCCCCCGGGTGAGCACTAGTACTGACTTTCGTATCAGATCGTGGGTCACGACTCGGTCGCGAAACCAACTTGACCGCGAATCCCGAATCAGCAGCACTGGCACCTTCGGGGACCGGGACCAGGAGCGCCTCTAGTCCGCGGGGATGGAAATATCGCGCGTTCGGGACGATGATATGAGTGCGTCTCTTTCCTTACCCTCCTTCTTCTCATTTTCGTGCCTTCAAGCTTCGTGGGATTGCGTTGCTGATTCAGATGGGAGAGCGCGCACCGACAGAACACTGCTGACCATCAATTTTTTCCGGCGCTGCAGGGCCCGACGCGAGCACGATTGTGATGGGGTTGTTTGATGAGTTCATCAAGTCGTGAGCTTAGAGGGCCTTGTATACCACGCAGAGGATGGTCAGTTAAGCAGTGAATGAATGTATGTTATACCACTGTCGCTACACGCAGCCTGTTTCGCAACGAATGGACCGCGATGACTATCTGGTTATACTTGAGGTCACGTAGTCCTCGCACATTCGGGAGAATGGCTTTTTGTGGATGGGGCGAAATGAAGTCGAACCCTAAGGTTTGACGGAAATAATCATAAGGGAGGAAGCCTTGACGGAAACGCTCTGGACGTCCTGAGTGTGTACTCAAAGTTAGTCCAGCACTCTGGCTGTCGTGACTATTATTCCGCGAAAAATTTACACTGCGAACAGTTGGTTTTACTGAAGTTCCCACGGTTCAAAAACTTCTGATGGCCTGCCTTAAGTTCAACATCACTCTCCATTCGAGTATACAATGTACCTCCCAGCGGCGCCACACCCATAAAGTAAGTCCCTTGTTCGATGTTACAAATGGAATCCCAAAATAGCACGCAAGGCCTTCCTCGGTAACCCGATTGAAGGAGATTGAACGAGATAAATGTTATACAAGCTATATCGTACATCGGAGTCGTCTTATTTTTACTGCTCCTCCTCCTCCTGTTCCTGCCAAGTCGACCAAGAAACCCCCGGGTCCGCACTAGTACTGTCTCTCGCTTTCGTATCAGATCGTTGGTCATGAGGTCGCGAAACCAACTTGACCGCAAATTCAGCAAAACTACCTTCGGAGACCACGAGCGCCTCTAGTCCGCGGGGATGGAAATATCGCTCGTTCCAAAGCCGGATAAAGTCTCGGACGGCATCTAGCGGGGAGCTCGAGGTTGGGGGTGGAGGTACAGGTACAGGCGGGATATTCTTCTCAGCGTCATCGGGCGAGGGCGCGCTCACGAACGCATGTCCGGTACCCGAAGCCGCAGTCGTTTCCGGGATGAAAACGGACGCAGGCACGGCGGGCGTGGACATGGATAATGTGGAGGAGGGCTGGGGCTGGGGACGCCCGCCGTGGAAGGACGAGATTGACGAAGACGACGACATCGAGCGCGCGCGGTTTCTGGGAGGGTCGCGCGCTGAGTCTGGGTCGGACGTTGGATTCACAGGGGGTTTGGGGTGCGCAGGCGCCGGCGGGAGCAGCGTGTACACGGGAAGAATATTCGTGCTGGCGCCGTCCTCATCCGGGGGCGTAAGCGCCAGTTGTCCGTTCCACGCGCTTGAAACGTCCTTCAAAAAAACAAGTCAGCGCTAGCTCGAACGGAACTTAACATAGTGGATATGTGGAAAGTGTGCGCACCAGCATAAACCGCCTCAAATCATCGTCGCCCGCGACCGGCGCGGCTTGAACATCGGTATGATTCCCCAGCTTCATGAGGGTGATAGGGGTGGACAGGCGGGATGAGCCGCGTCCCGCCATCCTTCTTGAAAAACGCAGACGGATGTGTCGTCAGCGGGGGGGACGGGTCCACTGTAGTAAACGCCTTCACGCCGAAAGGCAGTGGTGGCGTCCCTCGCGAGTCCGGGGTACGTCGGGATGGATGGGATGTAGGACTGAATGATGATTGGCGGTTGTTGCTGCAATGATAATTGGCGGTTGGATCTGCTGTAGCTGCTGTTGCTGGTAGTACGGGTACGGATCCATCTCTTTCGTCCACTCATCCACTCTGCGCCTCCACTCCCGATCTAGAGGGTCCCCATATCGATGGAACGTCCTGACGATAAGCACAAAATAGATGATGCCCAGCACAAAGACGAGCGTGAGCGCGATCCGGAGGCCAAGCAGCACGCGGGGGGATACGCTGAAGTCGACTTGGTCTTGTGAGGATCCGCTAAGCCATATGAACGACATGATGCAAGTAAAGAACATGATAATCGACCTGTGGGAGTGGGTGAGCACTGAGTAGCCGAAGGGGAAGATGACGGTGATTTTACCAAGCTAACCAGGCGGCTGGCTAAAGAGGCGTAGGTACATATAAGTCACCGTCGTCGAATTCAATGAATGAGGAGCCCACCATCGCGAGGAGAACCCATACGTTCCACCAAATACTCGTCGTCCCTTTTTGCGCCTCCTACCCAGAATGTCATTCACGTCAATCCACGTTCGTTTCGAGCCAACGCACCTCGGCAAAACTACTCGCTTTGTGCATCTTCCGCATCCCCCCAAAGCGCACGATGTACATGCAGCCGTAGAGCAGGCTCATGAGCGCGCAGATGAGCGAAAACAGCGCCGACGTGCGCGTGATCGGGTGCGACGCCGCCTCGATCTGCAGCATCGTCAGGATGGCCCTGCACACACGAGTGTCGTTGTTAGCGAATACATAAGAAAACCTGCGCACGGCGACGCACGACATGAGAAGGACGGAGATGATATTGAGCGTCTGCCACTCGCGCATCAAGGAGTCGATGAAGCCCTCCCAGGTCGCCCGAAAGTGGAGCAGCGTCTGCGGCAGCGGCATCTGGTCGGGCATCGTTAGAGATGGAAAAGCAGGGGGGTTCGTTGCGTTCCACTGCTCGGCCTTTGCGCGCGCCATGCGTTTGATATCGGGCAGGCTGAGCCGCGCATCCTCGAATATGCGCGTGACGCGCGAGAAGTAGAGCGAGGGGATGCGCAGGAGGAAGTGAAGATACGCCTGGCGGGGGATGAAGTCGAAGAGAACGAAGAGCGTGGTCGACATGATGGTCAGCAGCATGAGGACGGTGGAGGGGAAGGTTTGTCTGCGTGGCCTAGCCCTCCCGTTGAGCGGGAGGCTCTCTTCGTCCCGTAGCTTTTCTGGCGCGTAATACGGGTGAAGAACTGTCGTAGGGGATTTGTGAAGGAAGTGCGATGACAGGAACCATTTGCGGAGAATGGCCGCGGCTGGGGACGCGAAAGGTTCTATGTGGATTAGAACCATAGAAGAGGATAGACGCAGTGGCTGCGGCTGATTCGGAAGCCGCCGTGCGCGCATTCTTATCCATCGAACGATTTGCGATCTGGAGTAGACGAGATGCTAGCGATGCGTTAGCTCGAAAATAAACGAGGTTTTTTGCACTTATTTCACCTTCTGCTACTGCAAGACCGATGAGGTTTTCCCTCTGCCTCTCGATATCGCCACTCAGCGGCTCATACATCGAACTAGTGTGAATCGAAATGCGATAGGCCTCATAGGCCGCGGCATGTCCAATCTCGGCGGGCTGCATCTGGCCGAACTCGCCCTAAATTGCTGGTGAGTTTTGACGCCGGGGTTGCAGAAGGGAATTACTGACATGGCCACCGTATGCGTGTCTGTGCCAATGTTGGGCTTCATGCCTCCCGACACCCTGCTCTACCGTCGAGCGGACGGGGGGACTACGCGATCTGGGGTAATGGTGGGGTCTGGCCTGACTGCGACCACCCCAACGCCCATCCCGAGAGCTCGGCCGTCTACGGACGGAAGGAGGATGCGATCTGGGCGACCTAGAGCGACGGGGCGACCTGGAATGGTTACGATCGGCCCGACGAGAAGTCGGCCTTCTGTGGATGGAGGGGGAACGACTCCGGGTTCTACTTCTCGACTTGGAACGGCTGCGACCAGCGCAAAGTCGACCCGCCCTGCTACTGCTCTTGCTGCTGTGGGCTTCGCTTTTTGGGGAAGAAGCACGACCAGGACCAGGGCTGTGAGCGTGCAGATCCCCTCGACTTTCTGCGATGGAAGCAGAAACGAAACTGTCAGTCACCGAGCCTCCTTCGACACCGTAGAGATCCAAGAACCTCTCAGGCTGAGGGGAACGGGAATGTCCTGACTCCGGGACCATGTGAGGTATCCTAGTCGGAGACCGGCCTCGTGAACGGGAGCGCGAATGCCTTGCCGGTACAGCGCCCGCATACAAACCTTCGGAGTCTTGTATCACGGGCGGTATGAGGGCAAACGGCTGGAAAGCGTGCATCGGCGGAGGAGATTGCATGGGCCACGAGGGGGGCATTTCCGCGCTAGTCACAGAATTTTGGGGCGCTTGACGGCCAGGTCGACGCCATCGAGGTGAGGATGCATCAAAGGGGTTAACCGCGACGAATAACGGCTCGGGCGGAGGGGCCAGAACCGGATTTGAGAGAGCACTGTACGGGGCCTGGGGGATGTGATAGGCTCCCGACGCTGGCATCGGTGTCCACGGAGTAGCGCGCGGCGGTGGGTACCCGTAGTGCCCAGACCCCCACCCAGGCCCAGTCTGTGGTGCAGGATACGCAGAGTAGGTGGGATCCGTGGTTTCATGCGTCTCCCGGCGACTCTGCTGAGGGCGTGCATTCGCTGACCCTTGTGTATCCATCCCTTGAGGACCTGAACGCACGGACGACGTGTTTGAATGCATGCTGCTCGGTGGACTCGTTGCGCGGCTACAAGAGCTGTGGGCTCAGACGAACGAAGCAAGCGTCTATCAGATTGTTACACCGCCATTGTTAAACCTTTTCCGGCGCAGACACAGTTTGTCGACGTACTCAGCGTACTCAGGTGGCGACGCCTTTGCAGTTTTCTTGAATCCTCAATAATGGAAGGCATTGCGGGAAGGGAGAACGCGGTCAGGTGACACACACCACCTCGCGCCATACTTCAACTCAAGCAGTGCTTAAACGGCGCAAAAGCCAAAAATGGACACATTGGGAATTGAACCCAACACCTCCCGCATGCTAATGAATGCTAAGCGGGCGTGATAAACCAACTACACCATGCGCCCGATGGAAAAAGTGATGGTAGATGCACCTCAGGCATACTGTCCTTGGGCCGCAAGGATGCTCGAAACCTTCAACTTCAAGCTGGTTCGCCGTCGAAGCACGCGTCGTTGAGGATACCGTTCATTCGGCCAAAGAAGTTTGTCTATAACCAAGCTCCTGAAGATTGTCAGAATAGGAAGAATCGACGCCAGAGGGTACCTGGTGATTTGTCGGCCCGGAAGTCCATCGTTGGAATGAAAAGGCCACCGATACTACGAGCCTCCGCCTTCTACTGAAGCAGGGATCAGCACTAATGCTTTTCAAGTAAACTTCAGGAAGTACAATCGGCATCCTGAAACATCGATAGCGTCCCCCCTCAGAGATAAAAACAAGATCGCATCCTTCCTTGCGAAGCTTCCCCGTCTCGTCGCAGAAAAATGTGTAAGGAGCAGTTACGAGAAGCTCAGAGCTTTCAAAGAGAATCGCAGGAGGTGTAAAATGTCCGCTTCAGATACTTACTTACTTGCCAACAGACCTAAAAGACAAGTCAGCTCGACAATTTCGTGACCGAGCCGACCAAGTATCGCTGTCGACGACGATTCGGGCCTCTACAACATTTGGTGTTTGTCTGACTGAGAATGTCGGCGTGGGGGTCCCAGGAGGAGGAGGAGGAGTCAACTTGGTATCGCGTGAGGCAACAGGACGTCGTTCTGCCACAAAAGAAAGAGTCTGCGCAGGAGTGGGAGCTAGCAACGTGCTCAGGAGAGGAAGCAGTTGTGAGGCCAAGCCGAGACAGACTTCTTCCCCCTGAGGGGCGTGCTGCGCCAGAAACCGGAAGGTTTTGAGTGTGCGCTGGGGGTAGGATGTTTCTTTTGACGCCAGAAGAGTGAACTAAACTGGCCGTAGTGGAGGACCACGAGCGACCATAACGAAGGCGTCAGAGAGAGCGACTGCTCTCCAATGCCGACTGACATCCGGCAAGGTCGACGGATTCTTCTTGACGTGGACCACCGTTTGAAGCGCATCGCGGGTGTCGGTAACGTCCACTGGCAGGAAAAGATGTATCCAAGGATCTTCGGAGGCAGACTCGGAGTCCTGTGAGATGACTGACAGGTTCCAGGCACGACATTTCGCCACCGACACACGTTCCCTCTACCCCGAAGCCGGAGAATCTCGTCGTCGAGATAGACCAGTGGGTCGTCGAGTGTCATCAACTTCGGGGTTGTATGAGGCTCGAGAGGGACTGGACGAGAATAAATGTGCCGTCAAGTTCCTGAACCTGCCTGCGACAGCCGACCGCAGATGCATATGCTTACGGGCCCACTGAGAGCATCGAGGTGAGTTCCGGCCGATGAAGAACGAACAAGGACGGAAAGGAGGAAACTGGAGGAAAGAGGAGAAGATTGGGAGGAGACGCGGAACATCACACTCACGTGAGCATGTCACACCTTTTAATGCGTTTCCGTTCACGCGCCGAATCGAGTCTTCCTTGAGGGCGATTCACGCATGCCTACGTCATTTTCAGTGAAGAAGGTAAATAATCCGCAAAGTACCTGCGGGCTGGAAGAAAAAAAAAACAGCTCGACGATCTTCTCCGACTCGCAGGGAACCTCTTCATCGGTTCATAGAAATGATACCGTACGAGCTCTACTGGGTCGCTTGGAGCGACAGGCATGGGTGGAAGGTTGTGTTGAACTGGCATAAGCTCTTAGCCTGGATTATGGTCTTGTCGACGACGGAACTTTCAATGTTTTGGAATGGTCTGGCTTCTGACGTTCGACTCTACCAGTAACTATAAAAATGCATTCAAAGGGTGTGTGCGTAGAAATGAAGGACAGTGCGTATGTATGCTGTATCAATGCATGCAGAGTGGGTGGGTGGGTGGATGGGTGAATGGATTGAAAAATAAAAGGGATTGTTGTTGTAAAGTCATCGTCGTCGTCTTCGTGTAAATCGCGCACCACCGCCGCGCCCCCTCTCCTCCGACTTCTTCACTGAACTCGCTTGCCGCCGCGCGCGTGTATCGCTCGACACACACCGCCGTCGCTTACAGGAGGCGTCATCATCCAACCGCCCCCAACTCCCCCGCCCTCTCCCTCCCACCCCCAGGCTCCCCCCGCCACTTCCCACCCCCAATCTTCGGCAAATCCTCAACCCCAGGCGCCCACCCCGGATGCACCTCATACTCCTCCTCCCCCTTCCTCTCCTCCCTCCCCCTCAACGCACTATTCCCATGCCCCCCATGCCCCCCATGCCCACCACCACTATGCCCGCCCCCACTCGCAGCCCTCGCCGCGCGCTCCCTCGCCCTCCGCCGGCGCCTCAGAATCTTCTTCCGCGAGCGCACGGCGCGCCGGTGCCGCGCGTCGTCCCCATAGAACAGATCATACTCGCAGAACGCGCAGATCCACTCCTCCGCGGGCGCCGTCAACACCGGGCCGCCCCTCCCCTTCCGCGCCAACACCCCCAGTGGCACCAGCCCCCTTCTTCCGCCCCTTCCGCCTCGGCGCAATATCCGCGCTCAAAAACCTTAGCGGCAGCGGCCCCAACCCGCCCCCTTGCGCGTTGGCGTTGTTGTTGTGCGGCGCGCCGCCGGCAGCGGGCCCGTCCGAGTGCGGCAGGCGCGAGGGGACGTAGTTGCGCAGGTGGTGCGGGTTGGACGCGTTCGCCAGCGCGGAGCGCTTCTTCTTCTTCCCCCCGCGCGGCTTCACGCCCCCCATCCCCAGGTCGCCGTTCCCATTCGCGTTCGCGTCCCCCGGTGGCGGCGCGGTGCCGTTGCTGCTCGGCGTCGTGGTGGTGGTCGAGGAGGGGTTGGTCGACGTGGCGGTGGTGCGGCTACTGCGCGGCGCCGTCCGCGTGCCGCGTTTCTTCGTCGTCGACGAGCCCTTAGCGCCCGCGGCCGTCGTGGGGAGGGCGGCCATGAGCTTGTTCGCGGCGGCGAGCTTTGCGGCTTTTGCCGCCTGCCGCGCGAGCTCCGCCTCGAAGCGCGCACGGAGCACCGCGACCTCCTCCTTTGTCGCCACCAGCCGGTCCGCCGCTGCGTCGCGTCAGTCATCGTCATCGCAGGGAAAAAAAGGGAAGGAAGGAAAGGAGGAGAAAGAAAGCCTCACTCGAGCTCGGGCACGCGAACGTGAACGCACACGACAGGAACGCGCGCTTGTCCGGGTGGCGGTACTTCTCCGAGTAGCGCGCCGCGCGGGCGAGGCGGGGGCCCAGGCGGCGCGAGAGGCGCACGCGCGGCGGGGTGGCGGCGGCGCTGTTGCCGTTGCCGCTGCTGTCGAAGCCGGGGGTGACGAAGGGGTAGCTGGCGGAGAGCGCCTGGTCGAGCGCGAGGGTGTCGCCGTGGGAGAGCGCGCCGAGGACGGCGGCGAGCTGGCGTTTGCGGCTCTTGAGCGTCTCCTTGTGCTGCAGGCCCGCGAGGGTGATGCGTGGGGGGCGGCCTTTGCGGATGCCGAGCCCGGCCCAGGGGGAGCCCGAGGGCGGCTGGTAGACGTCGACTGTCGCGGCGTCGCGGTCGTCTGTGCGCCCACCCGGGGGCCCGCGGTCGCCCGGGTCGTCTTCGCCGCCTGAATGCGGGTCGCCGGTGTCGTGCCCCGGGGAGGCGGAGGCGTTGGCGGGTACTTTCCGCTTCTTGGTGTTTCCCGGCTGCTGGAGGTGCTCCATCCCGTCGTCGTCGCCGTCCTCACCGTCGTCCCCGCCGTCTCCGTAGGTGCCACTGGTGCCGTTGCCGTTGGCTAGCTCGGCGCTGCGGCTGAAGATGTCTTGGAGGCCGGGCATGTAGTACGACTGGAGGGCCATGTGGGCGGAGAGGGACTCGGCGTGGGCGATGAGCTCCTCCGCGGTGGCGTCCGGGCCAGGGAGGGGGAAGGGGAGACCGAGGGCTGCGAGTGGCGGGAGAGCGTCGGCATCGTCGCCATCGTCAGACCCCGAGCCCGCTGTGCGACGGCGCTTTGGGAGTGGCTTCACGCGGCGGAGGGCGGGGAATTCGGGTACATCGAATATAGGCGATGGACCTCGATGCATCGTTTTGAAGCCCCTTGGATTGGGCTTGCGTGGCCCTGTCTTGGGATAAAAAAAAGTGGAAATTGCGAGTGGCGCCGTCGTACAATTATTTCTTTGAGTTTTTCTGTCCTGTCTGCTGTGGGTGTTGAATGAGAACCTGTAGAGGTTATGGGGGGGATAGCTGAGGGACTGAGGGTGTTGTCGTGGCTGATGTTATCCACAGCAGCTAACAAAGCCGACCGCTTTGACGGTAAATATCAGTAATCACCCCGCTTTTTTCCGCTACGTAACGTGCAGGGGTGAAGAGAGCTTATATTCGATACAGGAGGAATGGGAAAACTACTCGGTCTGCATGATTATTCAAAGCAAAAAAACGCAGTCGCAGCACCCTTTGGGCCTTTTGGCATCAGAAATCCATGTGAGAGGCTCAGATTCGGCACTGGTACCGTACAGTTTACACGAGGATACTCCACACCGTCGTTAGCGAGGATCTGAGCATCCGCTTGAGGGGGAGCGGTTCCAGAGGCACGAACAAGAGCGCGAGTCGAGTTAAACCAGCGTAGTCCAGTAGAAATTTGCAAAGAGGGATCATTCAAGGGAGGACACAGCGAGTGCTTGAACTGCAGTGGATGTGGTTCAAGTTGAGGTTGAAACCCGATTTTTGACGCCGCGGCAACGTGATCCCGAGATTTAAACTCCGAGTGCCAAACACGAGCAACGTTGAATCTCTCTTTCCTCCGTCATGAACATAGCTGACTCTTGCGCGTTCTCGTGGCCTCGCTGTTGGGGTTGGCCTGCTGATTTTATCTGGACCCGCGGCTCCGCGAAGATCTTCACAAGCGCGTCTTGGACTACACTAAACTTCACTTCACTGTCCTCCTCGCATCCGACCCTCTAGGGCTCAAGTTGGTGCCTGTTAACGTTTCTCTCTAGCACGAACCTGAAACCGCGCGAACAGCAAAAGCTCGCTCGTCTGATCAAGTTCTAGTCGCGCTGCTCGACACGGAAGCCTCGGAGTTGA